TTTTAAAACGCGTTGCTTGCATAAAACTGACCAGACACATTCGATTTACCAGTCTATTGAACAACTAGAAAAAGTGAAAAAAATACTTCTTATCGCCAGCATAAATGCGTAATTATTTTTTTTACAGAAAAAATAATTTTTCACCTTTGATTAAGTAACGAGTCATAGAATGCAGATACAGGCATTGCAAACACACCTTTGTAAAGCTTGAAGTCTGGCGATTCTAAAAATATATACTTTCCTGGGTCTATTTGTAGTCATTTGGTCACAATTAGAAGATGAAAACAAGTATGCAAATAATAGTCCCGCTACCTTAACTAAATTATCATATGACCATGGCAGAATCTTTATTTCAATGACAGTTTTGTTTTTGTGCAATGTGGTACTTTTATTTGAATCGTTTCATCAGGGGGACTTTTTCATTTCATTTTATAATGTTCCACAATTTTGTGCATTTATACAACCTGTCTGTGTGTATGTTCTAGACAATACAAATTCCATATGTCATTCACATGTTAGTAACACATTCTGGGTTTATATGTGCTTCTATTGGAATAGTAAAAAAAACACAATAGTGAAACTGAGAGCCAGGTACTCTCTTAGACAAACATTGGTAGGACATATGCACTACTGTATTCATCTATATCTAAGTTTTTAGATGATGTATATGATGTTGAAAATAGCATTCTTAGTAACTTTTAGAGAATTCCTGAAACACAGATCAACTAATTTTTGTAAAAGACCCCCACATGCCACACACGCATTGTACTGTAAATCATAATGATGTACCATAAATAGATTAATCTTGACATTTAAACTTTGTGATGAATTGATCAAATTTGTTCTTCTAGGTACAGGAATTAATGCAGAAAAAGCTTAGTGTGTTTTTCCTGATATCTGAAGACAACTCAACGTCTGAGTATATCGGCAGCAATGACTTGGTAACAAAGTTTGAAACATGTGGTTTGAAAGCCAAACCATATGATATCAATAGAACACATACACATCCATGTATTGAAATGGCATCATCTCTGAATACTGAGACAACAAAGGATTCAGAAGAGGGATTGCATGATAGGGATGAGGATGATCCTGACAATCCTGGGAAAAAATCAGAGACAGTTATTGATGATGTATGTATGGCTGCTAAACGGTTGGAAGAAGTATGTAATTCTTTGAAGTACAGTAGAGGAAATGATGGTCAAGATGGCTGCTGTGACGATGAAGTGGAAGATGAAGGGAGTGAGCAGGATGCAGAGTATGATAGTTTTGTTTGTAGTAAATATGCAGATGCTGGAGAAGACCTTGATGATGTTGTTAGAATTAATGAAAACAAAACAGTTGATGCTCATTATGAAGATGAGAATGAATATCATCGTGATGTAGATGATGATAATTGTGATGCCGATTATGAAAATAACAGTAATAAACGGAAAAGAGAGAAGCCAAAGAGACAAACAATTTCAAATGACACACAACATGATAGAAGTAATCATGATAAAAAAATGACTGTTGCTAAAAATGTAGCGAAACGAAAATATAAAAGATGTACCAAAGAAGAAAAAGCTCTAAAACCTGAAAAAATCAGAAAACTTATGGAGGAGTCAATGAATGAAAGGGAAATGATGTGTCAAAAATGTGGAAAAGGATTTGCATTAAAATCAAGCTGGAAAATCCATGTATCAAATAATATTTGTTTTCAAAGAAAATGTCGGTTCTGTCATGCAGCACCAATGATGTACAAGGACTGGATGTTTCATATGATAGCCAACCATGCTACCAAAATGACAATTTATCGCTGCGAATTATGTGGAAAAGAGTTTCTTCATAATACTTTGCACAAAAAACATTTACATCGAATACATGGGAAAGAATGGAAGTGTTTTACATGCAACATCTGTGGAAAAATGTATCGATATCAGCCACAGTTGAAGTTTCATAAAATCCAACACCATGAAAAAAAAAATTATACCTGCTGCTTCTGTGATAAAAAGTTTGCTACAGAAAAGGTATTGCTCAAACATCAGAATCAGCATACAGAAGGTAAAAAATATGAATGTGAACTTTGTGGTGGATTATTTGTAAGTTCTTCAAGCCTAGGGAGTCATATGCACGTTAAGCATATAAAAAATAAATATTCCTCATGTCAGTATTGTGAGAAATCGTTTTACCTTAAAAGTGAACTGGAACTTCATTTAAGTTCAGTGCATGACAAATTTGAAAATCTTATACAGTGTGACTATTGTGATAAAGTTTTCAAACATGAGCTTCGTCTAAAGGTGCACATCAGAAGAATGCACATCAGTAACCCAGTTCAATGTGAGGTATGCGGGAAACAGTTTCGAAACCAGGAGAAACTGAGTCAACATATGTTTGTTCACTCTGATGTAAAAGAACATCGTTGTGACTTGTGTGGCAGGGAATTTAAACAGAAACATGCTTTGAAACGTCACATGTCAGTACACAACAATATTAGACCATGGCAGTGTGATATGTGTGGATATACATGTAAACTGAAAGGAAATCTAGTCAAACATATGAAAACTCATAACGTGAAATAAATTTGATCTAAATTATTCATGTGATATTTCATATTCTCTGTTAAAAATCCATATTCAATAGAGATGTATTTAGAGCAAAATTGCTTATTTTTTATTGTCTCAAGCACTAATACATGTTTGTCAGTTGTTTTTTTAACCACAATTATTCCATTGTTTGTCCTGTGTTTCTTATTCTTGGCTTCTACTGATGCTTTGCCAGTCGCCACTCAATGCAGAGTTTCAACAAATTTTTTTTCACCTACACTGGCAAGAATCATCACCCAGTAAGATAAATTAAACATATGGAAAACATAGTGTAATGCCATGCATCTTTCTTTCTGTTTGTGAAGTATGATATTAGATGTCCTGGTTAAAAGCAACTTTATGCAATGTCTTTCCATATAGGGTGTCTCAGCTAGGTGTGAATTAATTGTTTTCATTTTTCCAACCAGTTCGTGAATGTCAGATAAAAAACAAACTGTACCTGTCTGTTTAACACTAGCTCATGAACTGCAGTTTTGTTAACTGGCAGATAAAAAACAAACTGTACCTGTCTGTTTAACACTAGCTCATGAACTGCTGTTTTGTTAACTGGCAGATAAAAAACAAACTGTACCTGTCTGTTTAACACTAGCTCACGAACTGCTGTTTTGTTAACTGTCAGATAAAAAACAAACTGTACCTGTCTGTTTAACACTAGCTCATGAACTGCTGTTTTGTTAACTGTCAGATAAAAAACAAACTGTACCTGTCTGTTTAACACTAGCTCATGAACTGCTGTTTTGTTAACTGGCAGATAAACATTTATATTTAATAACACTAGTGACTTGTATATAGGTGGACTATTTCGTACTTTCGCATCGCATATTAAGGCAATGGCATCATTCCTGATGAAGGTTTTGTCACATTCCCACAGGGGTTTGGGTATAGTTAGGCTCGTATAAGTCGAAATGTATTGTGGGAAATCTTATTTAAAACAATTTGGAATTGTATGTAAATTCCATTTTGTATATTAAAAATCACTCAAAATGTTAGCAAAACACGACACTCCATCTCTGAAGTACCACTTCTTTAGGTGGTCTGAAATAAACTACACAATTGTATCGCGTACGTAGAGTAGAATATTTTATTTTTTAACAGATCACAGATAAATGAATGTATGAACAAAGACCATCAACATTTTAGTTTATCTCTGTTAGTGACCAATTCAACCATTATGATGAAACTGGTTTCCATTCATCCCCCCCCCCCCAAGTCATAAATAAATTATTGAAGAATTCATTCACACTTTTACAAATCTCTGATTTGTACATGTGAAAATAAAATTCATCTCCGACAAAGTCTAAATGGCCTAATTCAACAGGTAATTTTATCTGCTAAAATATGATACAAGTGCAATACTGTGCTTTCTAGATAAATCTCCAAATCATAATTCCTTTTTAAGAAAATGTCATTAATTTTTTGCTTTTGGGTCTATTGATATTGCTAGTATATACAACAGCGCCCTCAGAAGGTTGTGGTTGAACTGGAAATATAAACTGTGAAAACTAATGAACCAAAATTTGAAAGAAGCAAAAAAAATTACATTTTGTAGCTTCCAAAATTAAAAGGAAAGAGAAAAAAATTCCCACACATTTCCAACCCCTGATAAAACAAGAAATTCGCTTGAATAAAATGGAATTGAGAATTTCATGATTTCGAAAGTAATTGGGCAAAGTCGTACCAAAGACACTAGAAAAAGACACTAGTGTCTTTGGTCGTACTTTAATGGTTTTATTCACTGTTTAACAATAATTGCGTTCTACAAGTCCAATCGTTCACGTGCATAACGAACGTGCTAGGGATGCTCTTTACAGGGTTTTTTGGAGCTAGTCTCGTATTCAGCCTCAGATTCTAAAGCTTTGGTGATCGCGAATCACTACAAGGTGGTAATAAAATAAGATAAACATTGTAAAAACAAAATATAATGGAATCTACCGAAAATGCTTGGCATATTCACTCGGTACAATTTTTATTGCGTAAAAACTATGACGATCAATACTGAGAAAATGAAGCAGAGTTCTGAATTTGGGTCTGATTTCTGAATCTGAGGCTTGGATTTGAATCTGAAACTAGCTTCATGGTCGTTTGTTTGTTTTGTATTTATGTACTATGGTACTATCAAAAAGAAAAAAAAAAAGAAAAACAAAACAATACTAAAAAAGAAAAAATGGTTTGATAATGATTGCTGGTTGCTTCGCGTAGAATTAAAAAATATTTCAAAATTACTGCAGAAACATCCACTAGACCCGATTATTCGTGGTAGATACTTCAAAACAAAAAAGCAATTCAAAAATTTAGTCAGGAAAAAGAAACATGCCCTAAAACAGTTAAAACTGAATGAGCTTGAAAAATCAAAAAGTGATACATCTAAATTTTGGAAAATACTGAATGATTTAAACAATGACAGTATAACACATTCAGATAATGAACCTATTTCACCTGGGGACTGGTTAATTTACTTTAAAAAACTGTTAAATAAAAACAACACTGTTCACTCTAATATGAAAACACATCTAGAAACTTTAGAGAAAAGT